GTTGTCGTCATCGTCATCGTGATCGTCGTTGTTCTTCGTTTTGCCCTCCATTTATATATCAGTGATGAAAATAATGGTATTGGATTTGTGTGTGCGAGTGTGAGAGAGAAAGTAGAACGAGACAGAGAGTATTGTGATAAGTGAATTGATGCCATGCTGTGCATAGAGACGATGGATCGATATAAACCGTATAGGCCCATGGGCTAAGCACACAAAAAACACAGATGAATGGAATTTAATATTGAAAATTCAATAAAAATCGCTGGAATTTTCATATTTCCTCGCAGCAACGAACACACACACAAAACGCCACACAGTTTTGAAGCTTTTATCGATTCTTTAATCCCGATGACGGGTTTAACGCGTGAAATATTAACCGCCTTTCGTTCGTTCGTTCGCTTTTTTTCGCATTGTTTCCATCTCACTGTCTTGTGTTCTCTATCTCTCTTCCGTAGCTTCTGTCTCTTTCTGTTTTCCTTTCGCTCTGTGTCTTTTGGGAGCAAGTCTCCGAATTTTTTTTCACGTCGCCCGTTGCGTTGCACTCTCTGTCAAACTCCATAAACGGTGAAAATTAACGTTGATAAGAGGCGAACAGTGTGTGGGATAAAGAGAATGATTTATAGCATTTGCTCGAAAATCAAATATTTCGGCATCTTGAGGCATTGCGCAATCGAACACATGCGTAAAAAATCTTTCTCTTTCTCACTCAAACCATTCTCAATCAAGGTTTGTACATAGAAATTGTTTCTTCTTTCATCTCTATTCACAGCGGTAGAGAGAGAGAGAGAGAGAGAGAGAGAGAGAGAGAGAATGTGTTGTTTTCTTTGACAGTCCCAAATGTTATTAAACAAAAGCTGCCTGAAGACAAATGGCATGTGTGAAAGATATCTCATCAGTAAGCAACGACATATGCAATTATGATATTTTTATTTGACAAGCCAACGTAGGCCGTGGCCGTTATCATGCATGAAATATGTGTGTGTTTTGCGAAGAGAGACGAATTGCGCATCAATTGTTATAATTACTTGTTGATTTGTTTATTAGAACTTGTGTGTACGTGTAATCTGTGTGCAGGATCTGCTCTGCCGTTCAATAAATTGAATTGATGCGACATGTCACATCAGTTATTGGTCGTAAATAGAAAAATGCGCTCACGGAGAAAAATAGTCGCATTTTCGTAGAGAGTTAAAGTGTGTGAGAGATTGGAGCACGAGGGATCGGAGATGGTGCGAGACGCGCTTATACTATTCAATGACCCGGTAATTGTTTGTAGTGTGTCTATCTCTAGCTGCTGGTATTTGCGTCACTGTGTGCGAATTGATTGATTATGAAAAGCGGAATTATTACAACAAAGCCGAACAAATAAATTGGTATTAATTGAATGGAAAAGAAACGATGGCAACAACAACAGTGAAAAGCACATAGAAGCGAGCATATTTTTTTATCTCTGTGTGTATTTGGGAACAAAAACAGCGATTATTTGCCCGTATTTAGCGCATGAAAAAATAAAATCACCGGGAATTATTCTCCTTCATTTATTTTCCTCTCGCTGAAAAATTCGTACACAAACCGATTTATAATTCATGTGCGTGCGCCTGAGAGAAACAAAAAATAAATGTATGTAGAGAAGGTTGCTTCGACAAACATGAAAATGTCCCAAAATAAAATCCGGATTAAATTTTCACCGTCTGCTCGGTCAAAATTTATTTCAATCAATTTATTGTTTGAATTCTCTCTCTCTCTCTCTCTCTCTCATTCTCTCTCTCTCTCTCTGACAATGCCAAAGTAAATAACAAAACAAAAATGTACGCAACGAACACGCTGAAAAATTGAAGAATGAAACATTTTTGTGTACGATGGAGTGCGCGCGCACGCAATGATGTGCGTATGCCAATGATGATCGACAGCGATTATAAATCAAGTAAAAATCGCTTCACGTATTCGATAAATAAAATATAATCCATCAGTGGGGCATATTGTGCAAGAGACACAGGCTTCCCGTTCCAACGCAATCTATTCAATTTATTTGACGATGAAATACTGACATAATCTCTGCAATTAGCGAAGCACTTGTGCAAATACACTGCATGCGACGACACTACGTCAAAAGTAACCGAAGGGCTCAGAAAAGGATGACATCAGGCACCAATCGGTATTTTGATTTTCAATTTGTTTGCTTCGTTTGGAGTGTTTTTTTCTTGTCGGCGCCCTCTCCGTCTCCCATCTTTCAATCAGAATCCGACACATGACCGAGAGTTACAATTTTTCATCAACGATTTTCATTATTTATTTTTTGTCACTTTCATTTTTTTTCTCAACCATCTCACTCACACCTTCTTACGCGCGCATCGCATTCTAATTTTATCGCAATTTCGTAGGCATTTTAATCATTTATTGTCAATGTTGACGTTAACAACAAGTTTATTTAATGTACATATTTGTATTCATGACACAAAATCAATAGAATTTCTGAAAGCATATAATTTTTCCCATTTTTGCCTACTTTACTTGCCTTCATAGGCAAACGAGTAGTACATACGGGCTGCTGTCATATTCGTTCGTTCGCACAATACGAAATATTTGCACATGAACGAGAAAGAAGAAAAAAAAACTGCGAGAGCTGGAAATAAAAGGAAATCGATAACGACAAAAATGTCTTTTTTTGTTGTGGCTCTTGTTTCGGTTATGTTTTTTTCATGTTTTTTTTATTTACATTATTTCAATCGAGGAGAAATTCGATGGCACGAAACCATGATGAGCAAGGGAGAGGGAGACAGAAAAAAAACAGTTGAACAAAGGCAACCGCACCGAAATGAATTGAGAGTTATTTTGATTGGAGATTCGAAAGCAGTGAAGAGCGTATAAGAATATGCCATCACCATAAATGTGAAGCGAACAAAGGAAAGAAGCACCGAAAAAAAAGTGAACGGTAACGTATATTCCACTTTGTGTTTAGCAAAACAAATATAAATGCTAACAGCATGAAAATGAACGTGCGCGCACATTTACTCACTCACCCACTTGTTCGTTCATTCTTTACTTACTAGCTGGTCTTGCACAGAAACAATGGCAAAAACGGCTGCAAGGTTAAATCAACATCCAAGTGAAAATTAAATAAATAATACATCGATGTTGACTGCGATAATCGAAAGGAAAAACATAGAAAGGTAGCAAAACCACACCAGCCAAACACAAGATGTGAAAGAAGAAGAAGAATTGGAAAGCGTACAACAAGTAAGGAGAACAATATTTTGCTTTCTCGTCTCTGTAGCTGCGAAATAATTTTCGGCGGTGGAATGAGGGCTGGTGCACATTTTGTGAGTGCGTGTACGTGTATTTGCTCAAGAAAATGTATCGAAACAACACGCACATCGAAACTGCCTGAATGGAACCGAATGCTTTTTCATCGCATTTTTTTTTCTTTCTCGGGGTGTTTGTTTGTATTGTTTAGTTATTTAGCAAAGTATGGCCTGACGCCTATCTAAATAAACTTTCGGAGGAATCGAAATGTGGCGGCACTGTTGTTGCTGTTGTTCGATGGCACGGATGTGCTTTATTCATATTCACCGGTTAATCGGAAACGGAATCTATGCCAAAAACACAATTAATAACATAAAACGATAACATAAAATGGATTTTAGCGTCCAACCGGTGTGATGTGAAGTAGAATTTGAATCGATGCCATCCATTCCATTCACAAACACACTCCCACTCGTTCGCTCACTCGCTCTTACCATCGGAAACCAAATTGAATAAACAGAATCAAAAGTTTTTTTTTCGTACGTGCCCTCTGTTCTTTTCTATCCTTTTTCTTTTCTTTCACGACTCCAGCGCCCGAAAGATAAACAATGAACGAACTTTCAATCGGAATAATTTATACTTAACCCTCTAATAGATTAATTCTTCCTAGGGCTGGGAGTACTGGTACTTGGTTAATTTTTGGCCATAGATAATTAAAAAAATATTCGTTATCCTGGATCCCTCATGGTTCAGTCAGGAAAAGCGATTGACATAAATCAGAGAACAATCAAATCCATTGTTTAGAAGTGTCAAAAATGTGTCTAATTTGAAGTTCGAATAATTTATTTTGTCAAAGAGTATCATACCTGATATAGCAATGAATCGTACTTTTTGACAGATGTACTAAATTGAATGTTTTCGATGTCGCCATCTGGTTGGTGATACTTGTATCTTCTCGCACGGTTCTGATGAAGATTTTATTCATCGTGCCGTGTTTTAAACTTGATGATGACAAATTTTTTCACTCTTATGTGTGTTTATGAATGAAAAAGTGATTTTGTATAAAATTGGATAAACAATAAATAAAATCTTCATCAGAACCGTGCGAGAAGATACAAGTATCGCCAACCAGATGGCGACATCGAAAACATTCAATTTAGTACATCTGTCAGAAAGCACGAAAAAAGTTGAGGTTATTTTTGTTTTTGCACACACTTTTGTTTATAACTTTACAATCATACTACATAGACAAATATTGCCAAAGACAAAAATAAAGAGAAAACATTGACGAATAAAAATTCACTTTTAGTTATTCTTTCAGCCAACCGTCTAATTTCGGACTTTTTGGCTACTAGATGACTATAACTGAAGTTGACTACAGTCGAATATTTTGTTCGAGATAATCACTTTTAGTCAGTGATAGTCAGCCAAAAAGTCCGAAATTGGGCGGCTGGCTAGTCAGTCACAAATTTTTCACACGGGTTACGTTCTACAGGCGTTCAAATGTTGCCCGTCTAGAGGCGGTTGTATGCATTAGAGGGTTAATGTTTTTATGGAAATAAATATGTATTTGCTCGTCGTCATCGTTATCGGAAGAGCGAAGTTTCGACCAGCGAGCGAGTGAGTGACACGTGCTGCCAACGACTTATGTCCAGTCGAAAAAGAAAAAGACTGATGCATAAATTTATTAAGAAATTTTTCAATCAATTTTACCAATAAATTATTGATACGATTTCAATCCGTCGGATTCGGTCGGAATTTGGGGCAGAACGACGACGACAAAAACAACAACAATAACAACAACAACCACGGGACACACAAAAAGAAATCGATAATCGAAATTACTTACTTGAAACATTTCTCCGTAAAATACTGGATATTGTTGTCGATGAGTTTCAGCGAATCCAGCTGGAGACCTTGGAACGTCTCGTCATCGATGCATTGCAGATTGTTTCGCGACATTTCTACATATTTTATGGAGTTTTGAAGTATTTCTGCGGAAGAAAAGGATTTGACAAAAGAGAAAATGAGAAAAAGCAATTTTACGGAATGATTCGTTGTATCAATTGGAAATGCTTTGACATTAAACATTTAATGTGATGTCGAAAAGTGGCTCGGCTTCAGTCCAATAATCGAAATTGTTAGAAATTAAAAGAGTTTAATTATGATTAATTTAGATAATTATCGAAATGAATTTATTCATCACTCGTTGTCTACTACATACAATTACATCATTCGAGAGTCCTAAATGTACAGAAATATCGATCCTTATTATTGCTGAAAATGAACTGGTACCAAACCTATTGATGAATAATTCCCGGCCGATTTGACATATTTCCAAAATGATGATTGAAAGCTGATTGTCTTGTCGAATTCGATGCTCTTTGAAACAGACATCCAAAATGTACCAAATACGTTCGAATATATGTTGTGAAGCCAAAATATTGTGTTGACAACGAACATTTGGATGAAAAGCAAAAAGCACCGTATACGGCAGTCTGTCTCACTAAAGGTGCGATGCCACTCATTCAAACCGATGGAGAGATTTGTAATTCATACTCATAAAATATGTCACATTTGATTGATAGATTAATATCGAAAATTTGACGGGAGTTCTAAAATTGTCGTAATTCATCAAAATGAAATGGCCACAACTATAGTTGCTCGGCAAACTCACTGAAAGTTGTTTTTTTTCGTTCGTCGAATATTTACTTTGTTCTAGTGTGGCATAGTTGAAAAGCTCTTTAATACCTGTTCACAAAATGTTGGAGTTTCTCTCCAGTGAGTGACATTTCCGGTAATTTTTCATAGAAGTAATTCCTCATTTGAGTCCAAGCAATTATTTTTCATACCTATCTATCAAGCTATTCTGTTGGAATATTCCACTCAAAATATAGACAGATTCTTTGGCATGTGTCATTGGCATTATAAATGTAGAATCTGGCAACATCAATATCATTTGAAATGCAATGCCTTGTTAAATGTTAATTGAGGTCCTTTCAGGTATTTCGAACCAATACCATCATTTTATCAACCATGGCAAGTAAATTAAAATTGAATTCAGTTCGGCTCACTGAAAATGTCAATATTTTTCGCGCGACCACATCGAATTGGTTCATGCACTCGACGCATACTTTGAAACAAATTAAACGAAGCTTATTACATGATTAAGTTGATCATTACTTTTAGATAAATTAAAAAAAACGACTGCGATGCGTTGAAGCTGGCTATAGTAATGAGAATGCAATGAAGTTAATCACTGTTAATTCGAACACGGTAATCAAATTGTGATTATTTTTTTTATTGATACGCGTTTTGCCATTGGGCATTAATATCAACGGTTCATTTCAATCAAATGACAAAATGAAAAATATTTATTAATATATTTTATGTTTTCAAATTAATATGAATTTCTATTTAATTTACTGTTTTATTGAACCGTTGCAATCAAAAGCAAAAACTCGTACAGAGTTTTCGTGGAAAACGGTTCAATGAATCGGTGAAAATTTCAGCCAAATGAATCCATAGAATCTGATGGAAATTGCGTCACAGGAGCAAAACCAAATAGAAAAAACAATCAAAATTCACGCAAAACCGAAGCCATGCAGCGAACAAGTTTCATGGAAAATTGTGTTCAACATTCCAATTTCTCTATATTACTTTGGCTCACGTAAATACTAGTTTTTTTTTTCTCGAGTAAACAATAGTGGAAGTGAATGGAAATGAGTTACCACATAGTACTTGCTCACACACACACTCACATCGCATTCGATCTCGTATGTCGAAAAAGCAATATCATGTTAAGCATTATATTTCATTGTATGATATAAATTACGATTTTTGAATGCCATTAATATTCAACTCGGTAGAAATTAGTCAGGAGAAATATTAGTTTTAATGTGAAATGGCAATAGCGTGGCAATAAATAATAACCGAAAATGTTGTGTGGAATGCTTTGTGAGCGCGTGATCTCTTTTTCGCTCTTTTTCTCTCTCTCCTTTTCTCTCATTCTCGTTCAATGAATGTGTCTATGTGGCACAGTTGCCTTGAATTCAATTCGAAAATGAATTGAAATCATGTGTGTGTGTGTAAGTGTGTGGCGGTTGTGTACTGCGAGGGGAACGAGGCGTGTGGCTGTGTGCTTTGTTCTTTATGTGTCTGCTGTGCACATGGGGAACTCCGTATGAAACGAAATGAATCTATGACAGGCTGTCTGTAATAAATGTGATATCCGAAAATTTGGCATTTTTTTCTCTCTGCTGCCACTGTCGTTTGTATGTTTTTATTGGTGTTTGTCGGAACACAATTTGTTTCATACCAATTTCGCCTAACTATTTCAATTTCCCATGGATTGTAATGTTGCCGTCACCGTCGGTCGGCCCAAAGCAGGTTACCAGGTTCATTGTATTGTCGTTAGATAGACAAACGTTTTGGCGTATTTTATGTGGCATGTACGCAGAACGAGCTCTTCAGTCACAAGCCAGAAAAACTAACTGCAAATTAATACGTGCACCAAAAAGAAGTTTTGAGCTTGCAAATACTGAAATGTATTCATTGGAGGAGCGCTCGCGCACGGCTGTTCGTAAAGTTTATACAATTTACTGCGTATGTTCTAACTTGGTGGCGGGCAAAATAGAATCAACCACCAAGCGAAATAAAAACGACAAAGTTAAACGAGATTAGTAAAATCGTATTTTTTTGGCGGTGTGTGTGTGCATGTAGAGCTTGTGATAAAAAGTTTCGAATAGATCGTTTTTTTTTCTACATATTGGTGCACCAAGCTTATGTCAACCGAAGCGCGCGCGCGAGAGAGAGAGAGAGAGAGAGAGAGAGAGGGATCCAAAGAGGAAATAGAATGTAACATTTCGAAATTCAAATATTCGTTGACCATTTTAGCCCACTACCGAATCAATAAATCAACGTGTTCAATATGAATCTATGCGATACGCGCCACAAACATATCACCGGAAACGTAGATTTGTGGGATGGAGCATGCAAGAACGAACATGTTCATTTGAAAATTATAACATCGCTCAGTCGTTGTGGCTCTTCGTCGTTAATCTGAATGCGAATTTAATAGATACAAAATCGAACATATTGGAATGAATGCGAGCATGGTCGCGTGCATGTGATTGTCTCTTTGTGTTTGTGAATGTGTTTCCATAATTTGATTTCACTCAGCCACCCGACGCAATTCAATATGTAAACTCGCTATCGCGCAGAATGTGTTGCAAATTTGTAAGTTTGTAACGAAAATAGAGAACGAACTTTTTGAGTTTCTATTATTGCGTTTGAACGTGCCCGCACGTCACAATGATATGCACACGATGTTTAGAGGTCGAGAATTCGAAGCCATCAATTTCAGTTCTTGCGTTGTTCAATAATAAATAACGATCATAATTACATGCTCCTACAATGGAACACGTTGAAATTCGCAGGAATTGTAGGGAAAAACACCATCAGCAGCACCCGCAAAGTAATGCGTCGCTCATCGACAATGCTCGTTCAGTGCACACTATACATGTTTATTACATAACCTAATTTGAAAATAATAAATATATCGCGCGCGCTCCACCGTCCGCCTACTTCAGCCCAACTGAAATTGGTTTAGTTTTAATTATTTTCTGTTAAATGCCGTCCGTTTTAAACCAATTTCATGCGTCAAAATTAATATAAATTTTAATGTGAAAAATGGCAATGTTTTTCGATAAATGGTAAATGTGCGCTTCTGTGAGAAAGATAGAGTGTGAGAGAGAAGAGAGGGAGCGATCGAGTGAAAAAAAGAGGAGAGAAAGAGTCACATTTTATTCATCACGTACGATGTGTGGTAAAATTATGTACGATGCTGATGTTTAACAAACAAGGCCCATAGCTGTGTTGTTCAACCCTATACCGGATTGCTCACAAATTGCATTTGCACATGAATAACACACGCACGACTACCCTAACGGCTAACACATTGAACCGGGTCAAAAATGCCAGCCCTTCATTTCGCAAAATATGGGCTTTAATGAGCCAAATTAAAATGCAACCAAATTGAATTCAAGCTGCGACGAATCCTATTTATGGCAATTTTGTACTTGATTCTTGTAAATTTTTTACGGGTCACAATATGCAGATTTATGTCTCAACTTTGCGTCGGGCAATACGATGGTAAATGTGAGCTGAAATGTGTAGAAAAGCGCAAACAAAAACCCATAAATATGTTACTTAAGTTCATTGAATGGTCGCTTTTCACCATTTTTCTCTCTCTCTCTCCCTCTCTCTTTCTCTCGAGCGTTTCTCTTTTTTTTCGCTGTGACATGGCCTGTTGAAAGTATAATCTTGGTTATAATTATTACCCTTTTTATGGTTATCGCTACGGTTATTTGCGCTATTTCAACTTTTTATTCACATTTATAAATATGGGCTGCGATTTGAGTCTGTCGTTAGGTTTGTGGTCAAATCGTGCTCTGTCCATGAGTCAATGTGCGAGGTGGACGAAACGGGGAGGCATTTGGAGTGAAATTTGATTTATGTCTGTCCCTAAACACACTGCCATCTAAACACTCCGCGGCCATATCATAAAGTCATATGTTAACTCCATACATCCGGCCAACGAGTTCCAGCCCATTTTCGAAGTTCTTTTCTCGCCAAGACATTTCTATGCTTGCTGCTTCTTATTCGGTCGGAAGCGTGGCAATTTCTTCGTGTTATTTTCGACATTTTTTTTAAAGCTGCCGTCGCTTGCACGCATTTCAATTCAATGGTCGAGTTGAACGAATCGAAGCGAATTTATGGGAAAAAGAAAAGAAACTTTACGGTAGGTCGATTCAACACAAAACAAACACACACACACAACTTTACGTTTTAATGATTTTCATTCAGTGCTTTTGATGCCATCTTGGAAATTCAAATCATTTGTTCACACGCACACACATCGTAAACGACGTATTAGTCGTGCTTCGTTGATAGATTTCGATCCCATGGTGCCATCGTCCAATCATTTTGCGATTGAATGTAAATAAAAGTGGCAAATGGAAAGAAAAGCGGGGGCCGTAAATATGCGAGAGAGTCGAGTGTGGAAAAAAAGAGTCGAATTATATCTATAAAATAAACGCCATTAAATATATCGAATGCCATGCTGTCGCCTCAAATAAACATGAAATTCATTTTTGTTCAACGAACGTGTATGTATATGTGTGACGATTTCAAATCAAGTCATATGCCACATAATGCTCGTTTTCATTTTCCATTTGGAAAATATTTCCGAATTTTATCGGCAAAATGTTCGAGATACCAAAAGGAAACATGTCGACTACGACAACGACAACGACAACGAACGATAGTGGTTTTTGCATTTCGATTCGACAGCCTTTTCGACATTTATGACGCTCATTTCTCTCTGTGCATTGCCTTACCCAAAATTCAACTTCATTTCAGAGTTTGTCAGAGTCTCACCCTCCCTCCCACAAACACAGTCAGTGCACACACCAAGCACGGCAGTTAACTCTAACGAAGAGCAAAGGAGTAAAACACGTATTCGATGTGTGAAAGAAATAGAAAGAGAAATTGAGTGGTTTCGTCTTGGAAATTGGTTTGTGACAAAAGGGAAATTGTCGGCAGTCGAAAACAGTGAAATGATCGCATTTAGCCCATGCAATATCACATGCAATTTGTGAATGAGCACACCATTCGGTAAAATGAACGCTTCGTTTACAAAAGCCTTCTACTATTGCACACACTCTGCCGAGTGTTTGAGTAAGGCGCACAGGCATAGTAGCATGAAGCCCCTGACTAATTGTAATGCGCTTATACGGTATATGAAAATGTCGTAGCGCATTTAATGAGCAGAACATATTTTGCCGTTTTTCACTCCTCGGATAGTAAATAAACTTCTACTTGACGACGACATAAAATTCTTTGTTCGTAAACTTCTTTTGTTCTCACATCGTGGAACGGAGAGAGAGATAGAGGATGAGTGTGTGTGATTGAGTGAGGGATGCCTCGTTTCGCATGGAAAACAAACGTTATTGGGATGCGAGACGATGATGTCGACGGCAGTGGTGGAGGCGGTGATGGCATCTCCTCACTCTCTCCCTGTTTGTATGCCGAAGAAGTGTTCATTTGGCTGAATCAACAACGTCTACCATCCACTTCGGTTCTCATATTAATATTCATTTCAGTTGCTAAAATCGTTATAAAATTAAATTGCACGATAAAAGCGAATCTATTTTGCGCTCTCCTCACCGGAACAAGTGTACGTATGTGTGTGTGTGTAATATATGTTGGCGGTGGCATTGATGTGTATACGAGCGTGTGCAGCATTTTACTTATTATTATTGCCAGAATACATGACTTTGACTTATAATTATGGCTTGCTATGATATTCAATGGAATATTTTATTAAGGAAATCATGAGAGCGACGACAAAACACACACACATATCAGACGCACATATGCTGCTGTGTGATGGCTATGGTGGTGGTGATAGTGGTGATGGGGTACTTCTACTTTGACTGCGACACCCGTTTTCCTACCAAAAAAGTTATAGTTTCGCATTTCGATGCAACAACCCATTTGCTTCATTTACATATTTCTTCTTATAGATTTAATGACACTTATAACTCACCCGAGTTATGACGCATCACATAAGCACTCGAGGCACCCTGAAACACACCGATCTTCACTGTTAAACGATCAAGTGGATTCAAGCGATTCGCCTTTGCAAATCGTAATTCTCATCCAAGGCAAACGTATGTATGGGTTGTGCACAGTGTATGTGCTCGAGTTGCGATGAGTTGAAGGTTTTTCGTGAAATTGTGCAAAAACCACGCTGATGTTGGTATTTTGCAACGATAAAACCTTGTGTTGAAACTGATAAAACCTGGCCCTTTTCCGCCAAATGACCAAATGAAAATGTTTCGGTCCGAGATACCGAAATATGAGCTTTTAACGGCTTTTTGAATCGTTATTAAAAGTCAACCACTTGTTACCATACACACACATGCATTTGGGCTCTTGCTTAAAGCATTGCGGTATGTTTTTGGAATATGTTGAGTGGGCTATAGCTTCAGCTTGGGCTTTTTGATGCCTTATGCTCTTGCTTTCTCTCTCTCTCTCTGCCGTTCGGTTGTGGTCGTAAACAAAATTAAATGAGTTGTCAAGTCCTTGAATTTTTATGCGGCATCATGTTGATGTATTTCACTTCAAACGAAATGAGCTACGCAGCAAACTGAAAGACGTTGTGCGTGGCAAGTGAGTGCAGGCATACGAATGAAGAAATTATGCTTTCAGCAAATTAGAAATGTTAGGCACACTTTAAGTGGCGTCATTAAAATATTTGAAAATGAAATATCCCCCAAAATCTGCTTCACCGTAAGTCGCCTTGTAATCCACCGTAATTTCGTAAATTGGCTGTTCAGCCGGTACCTCTCCCTTGGCGCTCTCTCTCTCTCTAAACGCACACATACACATACACATACACACACTCTCCCATATACATTTTTCTCCGGCCATCGCAAATCGTGTATTATGCATCGAGCTCTAACTTCCATGATGTTGTTCACTTCTTTTTTGCCTCTTTCCTTCCTTAACTTTTGTCGGCAGTGTGTTTTTATCGAGCTTATGTCGTCTTTGCATTCGTCTTAAAGTGTTCACTGAGCACGTCTATTTGTGAATAAACCGAAAAACTTTTCGTATTGCGGCTTAATTAGCGTCAACCTATTTATAACATGTTCCATATGCTAATGAATCCGTTTTGTTTGAGTTTCTTTACCGTTTGTTTGTGTGATTGTGCGAATGAGAATGAATGTGTGTGTGTGTGTGTGTGTCTTTTCACTCACTTGTCTAACTCTTCTTGCATGTGATGCTGCTACAAGGAAGTGTGTGTGTATGTATGTGTTTATGAATGCTCGCACGTATTCAACACGCAAAGCAAAAAGGACGACAGAGACGGGAAAAAAATGCGATGGAAATGTTTCAATATTTTTTGACGCTTCACATGAATATGTGGCGCGTTTCCTATCAGCAAAATCGCATCAAGAAAATATGAGGTAACTTAATTATGATTACGAAACATAATGAACTCTAAGTCACAACAAGTAAATGATTCTGCAACGAATGAGAATTCATGGCGGATACTTCTCAACACACATACACCACTCATGTACACACCGGGAATTAAGTCGATTATGCTCCCAAATGATTTCAAATGAGTCTTTTAGAAGAACCCATCGTACACTTGAAAACTGGTATGTCATGTGTTGAAATGATTGCTTTCGTCGGAAAATTTGCGACAAATTTTTTTTTCCGTTGTTGTTGTTGATGATGCACTTGGCAACCGTGAAACCAACAACGCGATTTGAACTTGAATTTCTGCACAATATGAATATATATTCTACCTGAACGGAAATATTCACACCAACCATTGGGGCTGGAATTGTCTGTGGTTCACCGAGTATCAACCGAACTCAATACTCAAACTAAACATCATTGCAATCGCATAAATTACCTCAACAGCTACCATTTTTTTCTCCATACACATGGATATGTGGACGATTTTCCCAAAATTTCATTTCATCGCGAAAAATTTTGAATTCAGTCAGCTAATTGAGTTTCATTGCGAGAACTTGAGTTAAAGTTACTTGAAATTTCGAACAAACAAATTTGGAGTTGAAAAAAATTGAACTTTCTTTCCAAAACGAACTACTTTTTAAGTAAACTAGTTTTTTCCTTTGAAAAGCATTTCAACTCAATCGCATAATTACTCTATATTCGTAAGAAAAAAGCGTATTAAATGGCATTCCCGACTTACCTGTAAATTTATAAAACCAAACATCGTGACAGCTAATTTTGTACGAATGCGTTCCATTGCCAGCATTTGTACACATGCACAGCGAATTAATGGCACAGGGGAAAGTGTTTCGCATCAAAATATTATGAAAATGATTAAAATTACAATTGACACCGATAATATTTTGACCGATTAATCGACACCATATCAATAGTACAACAATCACACATTTGCCACGCGTCAAATTTCTGTACAACATCATAATGCTAGTGTATTTCCGGTTGGGCGCTGTAATGAACAAAGAAGAGAGAAAAAAGTATGAGTGAAATGAAGAAAATTAATTTATTTAGATATTTGTTTATCGAATCGAGTGAATTTCATATAAGTGACGCGACACGATATGCACACATAAAAATCTAGCTCCAAATAATTGACGGGCAAACAAAGCACGAAAAAAATTGTAAAAATATACAATGAAATGCGACCCATTGTTACATATGTTGATTGTTGCAGTTCAGTAGCAATGCTGAGCATTATTTTCATTTGTGAATGTCGGCACGAACATACTATAATGCAGCAGACATTGTCTCTCGCAATAGAAAAATCAACAAACGGCAAATGGTAAATGTTATCTGTGATTTTTGATCAAATAACTATCAAATTAAGTTCATTTATTTCAAACTACTTTGCAACAGTAAAAGTTTTTCATTTATAATGAGAAGAGAGACGTACAAAAAATGACTTTGCAGTTACTGCATATGCACTGTCGAAAAATTTTAAGCAGATATTGAGTTTTCGTTTTTTCTTCTCTTCGTCTTATTTCCGAAATGGGTTATGTCTGTTTCTCAAAATTTTAGATATGAATCGTTTGGCTTTTTTTTAACGAACTCTCGTTTCACAGCGAAATATGTCGTCCGTTTGCTTTTCGCTCCGATATGAATCCTTAATTATTCATAAGTTTGTTCGCTCTGCATATCACGAAGAAACTGTCAAGTACCTTCAAAAGTTCACGTAATATAAATAAAAACACATGTGGATATGTGTGCACGGCGAGCGTGTCTGTAAATGCACATGCTCTGATATTTCCAAACTTTGTGTATTCAATTCGGAATATAATGAAAATGTAGCTCATCTTTATCAGTGTTCTTGCACTTATCTCGACTCGAGTATGCCGCTTTTTTGCCATAGGAATTCGAGTCAACATATAACGAAAATTATACACGCTCCGTAATTTTCCATTCTTAAATTTTTCAATAAACTTTTTCAATTTTTCACAAAATGCAAACACTCGAATTGTTTAACTCCTTTTTTTCTTTCCCATTTCTGGAGTCGAAGCAGATTTGTGTTGGAAAAAGGGAACAAATTCGTGTTTGTATTGCATTGAGTTAGGTGAACACAGCAAGGGAGAGTGTGAGCAAGAAAGCATTCTACCGACTCAAATTCGTGTACACTTATGCAAGCGTTCAAATAAGTGGATCAACTGTAAAATTTGACTATATATGTCATCTACATATATACACGATTTATTATGCACAAATTATTTTTACTGCACAATGCAGTGGATAAGTGCAATTTCGATTCAAGCCAACGATTCCAACGATTTTGATTAACAACCATAAATAAATGAGACGAAATTGCATTTCCGAGTCATGTCAAGGGGATAAGAGCAGTGAGCGCGCGCGTGCGGCACACAGTGCACACTCATACACAAAAACTTTCAAAATAAAAACGATTCACAATGCAAAGGAAGAGAAAAAATTGCCATCGGGCTAAATATTCTCGTTCATATGGTGATTAAAAATGGGTTTTTGCGCTTGTTTATTAGCGGATATTATTTAAGAAGTGCACACCATTTTGATGCGGGGGAATTCCAATTTCCTCTATCTCTCTCACTTGATGAGAATGCAAATTTTTCAAATTTTCCCATTTGGCGCGAGCGATTGTGCTAAAAGAGGAAACCGAAACCAAGCGAACAAATAAAAAAACTGCAGCAATTTTAATCCATCCTATTTTTATTTAGACGAACAGAGGAGAGAGAAAAAAACGAGCAAAAAAGAAACAAAAGCAATATGAGACACGGTTTAGCTTCGGTTTCGTGTAGCTAAAACAATATATTTGCGAGTCAAGCTGACATAAAAAAGGTGGAAAAGCAAAATAAATGTCTATATTTGAATATGAAACAATGCATCACTATTCGTTTGCTCTATTTTTACAATGTAAAATACACGAACACTCGAACACAATCACGAATGCAAAGCGGCGAACGAGATAGAGTGAAAGAGAGACGCAGAAAGGGAGAAAATAGAGCGTTCGCACCAGGAAATAAAGTCATCCGTAAAAGGTATGACGCTCACCGTCACGTTCCAATGCAAGCAAAAGAAGGCGATAGAGAGTAGTGTGCATATCGAAAATGTGGCCAACAACAAAAACAATCATAAAAAAGAACCGAGAGGAATTCGAACGGCGAAAAGTGAGTGGAAACAAAAATGGAAATGCGGTGGAAAACGATGAACTTTTCAAAAGCGAAAGCGAGCGAAAGTAAGCGTTTTAGCCAGAGACTGAATGAACAACGATGACTTTCAATGGGGATTGTGTGTGGTGTGGTGTGAGCAACAAGGAGGTGACAGTACGAACTATAACGGAAAATTAAATTTATGGTTAGTTTTTCGTTCGGCATTTCTGTATTACATACTCACATAACGAGCCAGGAAAAATGAGAGAGAGAGAGAGTACGCATATGCAACGCAAAACTGGTGCTCCCAATATCTCTCTCTTGGTTAAAAATTGTGATATTCTGACCGAGGCTCATGAACACACATGTGCATATTTTTGCAGGCAAACTATTTTAATTTCGCTTTTAGTTTTGTTGTTAGTATCATCATCAACATTTTGCGAGCGAATACCAGCGATATATATATACACACACACACACATTCACCGGCAGCTGCTGTTGTTGTCCGTATTCCTTCGGCCAAACACGGCGAAAAAAAACGAGTAAATAAAGATTTTATGCGAAAATATTTGTAGCAATTGAAACAATTTACTGGCTCAAAGTGGTGGGTAAATGTTTTGGAGCCGGTTTTTTTATGGACGCTCGCAAGCCGGAGCGGTTAGATTTAGTACATGGCCACCGAAAGGTGTATCATTGCTATTTCCGTTTTATGAGCATAAAATTTTATTATTTTCCTTCTTTTTTTTCGGCCAGCATCGCTCTCTCGCTTGTTCACATACACACACGCTCGTTCGCCTTAGCACCGGGGCACTTTTAAACGTTCAAAGCAGTTAAACTGGAGAAATTCATTTCGAAAGCGTATTTGGTCTGGGAGATATGAGAATAATTTAGTTTTTACCCGTTTTTTATGCGCTTCCTATTTCATTTTCTCTTACTCTTCCACCACGCACGGTGCCAATGCTTCCCTTTCAGGCTACAATGAGCCAAACGGCAAATGAGAGAAAGAAGTTGCGACGCGGAATAACAAATCATAACGAAATGGAATTTTGTTGCAGTTTCGACCACGACCAACCACGATGACGACGAAAAAAAGCACCACGACGACGATGAGGAAGATTGAGAAAAAAAACAACGGACATTGGTGGAGAGAGAGAGACCATACACCAAATGCAAATCTGTGTCAAAATCGAGACAAACCAGCACAAGACGCGCGCGTATTTCAAGCCCAAGTGCGCTGAGCAGGTGAGATTTCTCATATTTCTGCGAATAATAATTTCCGTGACAAAAACCAACCGTTATTCGTATTACGTGGGAACGTGCACAGAATTTGCACCAGTGTGTAGACGACGAATAGCAATACGGAAGATTTCAATACTTCCAGAGACCGCAACGACGACAACAACGGCAACAGCGGCAGCAAAAACACTAAGTAAATGGATAGATGTGCGGTACGTTTTTTCTTCCACGGTGGGTGAGAAATGCTCACGCGAAAAGAATTGAAAACGATAATTGTTGCACCACTAAATACGAGCTCCAAAATAATGAAAAAAAAGGCAACGAATGCGAGAGAGAAAATGAATGTGTACGCCTGAAATATATACAACACCTGAAGCACCTATTCGGAACAGAGGCAAGTAAGATGAGTTTCAGGGAGAGGGCGAAAAAAACATTGAAGTCGCAACAACAAACGGCAGCGTCCTGTTCTGCAGAAAATGAAATGAAATGAACGCCAGCGAGTACAAGAAACAATTGACCGAATGAAGAATGAGTCAAGCGTACCCAAGAACAATGAAAACCAGAGCAACATAAAACGAATGAAGAAAAAAAAACTCACACACAGCGACTAGAGTTAATTATGGCAAATGGCAAATTGTGCAAACACAACATACGGCACAACACAACATTTGTGTGAGCAATTTACTTTTTTGTTGGCGTTACCACTGCCTCTGTCGCCTTCTGATTGTTCCTATTCTCGCTCCCTCTCTCACTCACTCACTCCCTGCTTCGACTTTCCGCCCGAGTATGGCAAGTATTTTATTTCGATGCTCGTGCAACAAAAACAAAATTCCATTACGAATGAAATATGTTTGCTTGCAATATGAAATGAGCAATGCTAAAAAAAAACCAACATACACACGTACAAAACACTTTCAATAAACGGAATAAACAAAAACACAGGGAATCACATGGTGGGAATACCTTTATTCATGCATGAGGTGGCAAAACTAAGGCACTTCACCATCGCCAATGCAGAAGTGAAATTCGGAACCAAAAAATATAACCAAAAAACAAAACGAAAAACACAGCATGGCAAAAGCATCCCAACTGAAAGCAATTCATGCAAAGTCAAAACAAATGAACGAAATTTCGAGTGCAATAGAAGCGTATTGGCTGGCGCGTCGCAGCCATTCAAAGCGAATCAGAATTCTTGGAAATGTCGAAAGCATCTCGGCATGGAAACGGAACTTTAATATTTATATTTAGTGTACTACAACTGGAATTGCACGTGGGCGCTCGAAAAATTGCAGTCCATCAGAATTATGGATATAAGTAAATAATAAATAAAGAACGAACGACCGGGGAGTTCAGACGAAAATGGGATTGCAACAATTTCGACTAATGAGAATTGCGCGCACGAGTCATCGACGTCGAAACACTGATTATAATGGAATTGATTGGAGCAGCAATGGCCTGAACGTTTGTAATTTGAGTGAAAGTTTTGCCTGAATAAAGCATAATTAAACGCATATTACTCAAAATACTAGACTCGTTTTAATTATGAAGCAATTTATCGAGTTTGAATCTCGAGCTAATTACATTAGCCCTGCTCCCCGCT